TCTCCATGATGGTTAGGCTTGGGGCCATGCTCCTGTCCCCCACAGCTTGAGCTTGGGGGGCTGAGGTTGAAGATGCCCCCTAAATCTGCTCATCACCCATCACGGCCCTGGCAGTCCCTGCATATTTGGCTCCAGATCAGGGTAGTGCCTGTGCCCCTCGCACACCTCTGCCTCCCGTGGCACTGGAGCATAGGGCATTGCTGGAGCAAGGCGGTGCCCGAGCACTGCGTGATGACCAGGGACATCCGGAGCTTTTGCCCCCTCGTGATGGAGGGCACAGTGGCGATGAGGGCATGGGCCTGCAGTGGGGAGGCCACTGCCCTGCCAGTGCATGCCAGCAGTGGGCCAGGCTATGTCTGTGCTGCTGACACCCTGTGGCACCTTCAGCCACCCCAGAAGCTGGGGAGTCCTGAGTCAGGTCTGATGTGGAACACTGCAATTAGCACAAAACTGAGCTGATTTGTGCTGTTAGGGAGCTCAAGGGGAAACTGGTTATCCTCTGTTTGCCAGCTTGGGCAGCAAGCGTCCAGTTCTTCTGAGGTTTGATTTTCCTGCCTCTGATTCAGCTTTGCTTGCGATTCACTCTGCTAGCAAAGACTTTCACCTTGCCATTTGCTTGGCCCTGGCTTTGCCCTTGAGCAGTAGCAGGAGCTGAGCCTTTGGCTGGCAGCATGGTTTCTGCTGGAACAAGGTTGCGCTGTCAGGTTTCCTCTGGGCTTGTGCCTGTCTTTCTGCCTGTCCCCTGATAATATGGGCTGAGCTTATTAGCCTTCTTCAGCCCAGCCTGACTGAAGGCAGTGATGGGTGAGGTAAGAAGCGCCCATATGGGAAGGGAGCAGGGCGTCAGGAAGGAGATGGTGTCCATGCCCTGTGAGGATCCACAGTGGATTTGAAGGGGACTGTGGTGCTGCTGGCTTTGCTGCTCATGCAGCTGCTTCTGGCTGTTCCTGTGTCACTGAGCTCAGCCCTGATGCCATGCATTTACCTTGAATCTCTGTGCCCTTGGGAACGCTGCTCTGAAACAGGAGGTGGGTGATCAGGACCCGTGTCCACCTGCTCATGCCCCAGAGCACTCTGCTCCCTGCACCCAGGCGTACACGTCTCCTATCACAAGCAGGAGGTCGGTCAGCTGCAGCAGCACGGCTCTCCCCTCTCCCCCTCTGGCCAGTGGAGCACTAGGCACTAGCACATCCTGGAGGCCTCGGCAAAGGTCCCTGACACCTCTGCAAACCAGCAGGCCAAGAGGAGCTGGCTCTTTGCAGCGGCCTTTGCTGTTACAAACCCTCCCTTACAGCCCTTTCATTTGTCGTTTTTGTCTTTTGCACAGTTGCAGTTCCTAGAGATTAGGCTGCAGATTAAGGCTTTACTGAACCCCGAAATGGGTTCCAATTCCCAGTCCCAGCAGGACCAACATGCAGCCAAATCTCCTCTGTAAGCTTGCAGAGCTGGAGCTGGGGAGAGGCATCTCCCACTGTGTTCTCCCATGTGTGTGAAAGATGGAGCCCTGCTATTCACCTGGGCTGCTTTGCTGAGAGGCAGCTGCCAGGTAAGAGCAGTTTTATCCTGGGAAGGAAAGCTCAGGAAGGAACTGGAGCTGTTTCATGAGTGGCTTTGGATGAGAGGAATAATCTGTAGCTGATCCCTCTTTACTCAGTGTCACACTGGGGGTAGAAGGTCTCAGCGCAGAGCGCACTTCCAGGCCAGGAAAGTGGTACCAGCCCGTGAGGGTCGGCAAACGCTGTCCTACAGGGCTCACAGGGCTTGCAGGCGTCTCTGGAGTCTTGCCACACCAGCACTGTGAGGGGAAGGACGTCCAGGTGCTCACTGGCCTTGGGCTGCCTATTGTCTGGGAGCCTGAGCAGGTCCCAGGGCCCTTTTGAATCCCAGAGGCTTCAAAAGGTGGTTAAGGAGCTGGATTATAAGCTCTTTGTGCCTCAGTTTTCCAGCTGGGCTTAACAGCGCTGCTGGGTCTCCTTGGGTGGCTGTGAAGTGCTTGGCTCCGCAGGCTTCATGTGGACTGAGCCGCTGGTGGACAGTGGTGACGGACTGCAGGGTGAGGGTTTTCCAGGCTGCCTTCTTCCCAACAGAAATTGCAATCATCCAAGCTTTCATCCAACTGTTCAAAACAGTACGCCCAGGTTTTTCTTCTTCCACTCTGAGGAGAATCCTGGGTGGTATGGCTACATTTCTGAGATAAGCCCAATGAGCTCTTTGTGGAGCAAACAAGGATGGAGCAGCGCTGTCATGTCGGAGCCCTTTGAGCTGACCTTGGAGGCAGCACAGGCAGGCTGCTCTTAAACCAGGCTCCCGGCAGCATCTGCTGCTGTGCCAGGTCACCCACTAGAGCTGCCTTCTTGCCTGCTGGGAGCCCCACGCACACAGCCCCCCACCAGCACCAAAGCTGTGGTACCAGGTACGTGAAGAAGCAGTGACATAAATGTCCATCTGTTTAGTTTGTCTCAGGATTGCTCCCCAGGCACCTCTGCCTCCCAGGCTGGGGCACCCATCTTCCTGCCTTTCTTTCACTTTGGCCACTGCCTGAGAGTGACAAAGAAATTCAGCGCCCTGCCATGATCCCTGAGGCTGCAATTGGCTCTGTCCTCTTGGCTGGTTTTGTTATCCTTGCAGTGCATCACGGCCCTTGCACAGGCTGTGCATGCTCAGACCAGCGGAAGCTGGGCTCCTGAAAGGAGCAGCTTGCTGAGTGCTGCTGGCAGGGGCCATGCAGCAAGGACATGGGTAAGGGGGGGGGGCCCACCCC